ATTTATCAGTAAACAGTGGTAAGGAACATGATAATACAAATCTTGACCTAATTCAGGGCTTTTAATATTGTCTCACCCCAGTGCTAAGACTGGAAAAGTCAAGAATTTGGGAAGGGACCTAAACAACGCAAGGTACTGTCATGGTGTGTCAGGACTGCCAACATCACATGTCATTAGCTGTCATTTTGTGCCAGAGCTGCCAACATCATCTTTTACCATCAGGCAGCACCTGTGGTGGAATACTCTATCAATGACCACCACATGTAGCTGTCAGACAAAGAGGGGAGGGGCCTCGAACGCCATCCGTAAGTCTCACATTACCTTGGTACTGACAGAGGCAGTGGCCAGCGTACAGCCGGGTCGAGAGGTGTACGTACAGAGTGGGAGCCGGCTGGAGATGGTGTGCCAGGTGGAGGGGTGTCCGGCTCCCGCCCTGCTGGCCTGGACCAGGGATGGACACACTCTTCTTACCGCTGACTCTAACACCTACAACCTGGCCAGCGACAATGGCACCACGCCCATCTCCAACCTCACCCTGGCACGCCCACACGCCACACCCGCGGATTCTGGCACCTACAGCTGCACCTCCACCTGTACCAAGCCCATTAACGTCACCGTGCACGTGTTGAAAGGTGAGTCATGACACATATTGACAGGTGAGTCAAGATAGATGTTTAGAGGTGAGTCATAATTCACATGTTGAGAGTTGAGAGGTGAGGAACTGTCATATGTTGAGAGGTGAGGAACTGTCATGTGTTGACAGGTGAGGAACTGTCATGTGTTGAAAGGTGAGGAACTACCACGTATTGAGAAGTGAGGAACTACCACGCTCCTCACCTCTCAACTTTTGCAAATATACAGGAATCTAATTGCCAGTTAAGAGATGCTAGTATGGTCCTTCAATCAATGGATTGAGTGAAAGGGATTCACATAAAATAAATCAATTATTCTGATTACCATGTACTTTAGGAAATTAATTTACTCAGAATTAAATGGAACTTAAAATCTGACAACATAAGTATTAAATCTATTTCATCTACTTCTAGTACCATTAAAGAAACGAGACATATTTCGACATTTATTTTGATTTAGATCTACTCAATCCTATACCCAGAAAGAGACGAAAATTGATACAGAAAAGAGCTGGAGGTACTTCTCCCGCCAGAGGTAAAACCTGAAACAAAAATATTGACGAACGGCGCTCTATGGACAAACAGATTTCAGCCTTTCAGAAAAACAGCCGTTGAAGGTAAACAACCACAGTGTTCGTGCTTTGTGTTGCCTCAAACAAGCGTAATAGAGCAGCATATTCTATCATGAACAGTGAGAAAAAAATAAATAAATATATTAATAGTAACAGTTGATTGATTGACAGTTGAGAGGCGGGCCGAAAGAGCAGAGCTCAACCCCCGCAAGCACAACTAGATGAACACAGTGACGCAGTCCCTGCCCACCACAACAGTAGTCCGAGCTATTGATTGCATTCGGTATTCCAGTTTGAGCAAATAATTCGAAATAATAGAATTATTATTTTTGTTTAAATGTGGGATAAAATATTAATTTTATCCCACATTTGTTGGGTCTAACAATCCCAAATTCAAACTAACGGAGAGGCTTTTGAATATCTCCCAATTAAACTTCTCTGAAACCTAGATCTTTGGATTTACTATGACAGACATGTTATTTTGTGCTGTGGCGGAAGACCCGCACAGGTCAATATTGACCATGAGAAAACATCACTGGTTCCTCCCCCTCCCAATAAAATATTGAATAACGCATATGTATATGTACATGCAGCGGCAAGTTACCAGACATGGAGGAGTGCTGGATACCTTAATAGCTGAGAAAACAATATTGGTTACATCAGGACTGACAACCCTTATGGCCATAATAAATATTGTGCAGGCTACAGAATACACAATGTTTGGGAGTGTCCTCTTACAGGACCACAACCGCTTCCTGAGGTCGTCCACCTCAGACTATTCGAGATGAACAGTGTAGACTACACATATGTTCTCACGTTAACTGTCACGAAAGACAGAACGCCTGTTAAATCATATATCTGTCTATTAACATGTGCTACCACTTGAGTTCACCTGGGAGTGACACCTGATACGAGTGCTGAATCATCCGACGAAGCTTTATATAGGTTTGCAGCCTACAGGTCCTGCTGAAAACTAATGTCAGATAATGAGACAAATTTATCCGTTGAGGAAACTTGCCTGTGGGAGATTTGCAATTATCCTTCTGCAAATTGCATTTGAAGTGCATCACTGTATTTGAAAATTCATTCTTCTTGGAGCAACCAGATATTGAAAGTTTCAAGAATGCATGGTGAGGGCAGGGAAATGTTGTCTCTGTGAAGCTGTGCACCATCGGAAGACGCTGCACAAAATTCCAAACTGTTTTCAGGGAAATAGTCTCAGGTCAACACTCGCCAAAAGACATACTTTACAGATGACGCTAAACAACACACACCAGTGGCTGACCTCTAAATCCCATACCGTTCTTTCCAGACGAAGAGGTCAAAGATCCTTTACATATTTGTCGCGAAGTAATCTAACCAAGTATTGAACATCTGACAAGTATTATCCGGAGAGGGAAATAAATCTAAAGGAAAAAATTCCATACATCTTCATGTGAATACCATTATGGATCAAACTCTCAATACAATGAAATTACCATTCATCAAGGCACTTGGACGGTAGACCGACGGTCTCGCTTTATGCAAGTCGTCGATCAATCCCCGACCATCCAAGTGATTGGCCACCATTTCTTCCCTAATACCCATCCCAAAAACTTATCCTGACCCTTAACAAGTGCTATATAGTCGTAATGGCTTGGCGCTTTCTCCTAATAGTTCCCTTCCCTTCATCAAAGCAACGTTGTCCTCCTGGACTGTAACGGACCAAGGATGGACAACAAGGGTATGTTAAGAATGACCACAATAGTCACTTGGGGCACCACTAGCTAAACACTTAAGAACATCTAGTTCATTTTGAGTCTGATGGACCCAGTCACCCTGGGGAGCCACATCAGCCAGACTCCACCTCGACAAATATGCCCAAAACTGGACACTGCAAAATTGTGCAAACAAAGAATAAAAAACTATTTTTAAAAATGAGCTTTATTAATCAGATTTACAATGGAACTCTAGTCTGCCCTATTTATTGGGCTCGGAGTCGTAACCTCCCTGCAGGGAACGTGTGGAAAATATAAAATTGTAATATGTATATGTTTAAACTGGGGCCTGACCATACCTTTGTGACTAAAATTCACTTTCGGATTAAAAATGAGCGCATTTTTTATGTGTTAAAAATATGAAATTTAGATTTGTATTGACAGATGCACGATAACCGTTGTAACAGATTTTCAAATAAATTACATTAAAATTAAACATATTTACTTAATATGACTAAACCTAAAAAATAACGTTCCGTGAGAAGCTATAACTTATATTCATATAAGAGCACATATGTGAAATATAATATTATCACGTGTCTTTGTCTTTGACATGTAATACTTTGACGAACTCGAGGCTGAAGCCAAGAGCAGGGAAATAATTAACATAAAATATCAATAAGCTACCCATAATCACATTAATTAATTACTGAATTAACTCATAAACGACACCCCGTAATTGATGTGTCGGACCGTAATTAATTCCGTAGCTCTAGAATTAATTAGACGTCAATAAAAACGAATCAGCATGCGGGGCGCCGCCAGCCCGTCCTCCAAACAAAGACCCAAAGTCCATTCCATGCACCCGCCAAACCCCCCTGTTTACGAATGAAAAACAAATGAATGAAAGCCTTCACATTCCCCAAATGAGAATATATATATATATATATATATATATATATATATATATATATATATATATATATATATATATATATATATATATATATATATATATATGCAGCTGTCTAACTCTCAGGTACCTATTTACTGCTAGGTGAACAGGGAGCATCATGTAAAGGAAACTGCCGATTTGTTTCTGTCCCGACTGGGAATCGAACCTCAGGCCCTTAGGACTACGAACCCCGAGCGCTGTCCACTCGCCCGCGAGGCCCTGTGTGTGTGTGTGTGTGTGTGCGTGTGTGTGTGTGTGTGTGTGTGTGTGTGTGTGTGTGTGTGTGTGTGTGTGAGTGTGTGTGTGTGTGTACATATTTGTACAATACAACTCAACAACACTGTACTCAGTTCTCTAACTTTTCCTCCGGCATTCCGACCACTCACATATATCACGGCTATACACGCTCTCAGACACATGTATCACGGCTATACACGCTCTCAGACACATGCATCACGGTCACACACGCTCCCAGACACATATATCACGGCTACACACGCTCCCAGACACATGTATCACGGGCACACACGCTCCCAGACACATGTATCACGGTTACACACGCTCCCAGACACATGTATGACGACTACACACGCTCCCCGACACAAGTGATATAACACTCTCCGTGTACTTAGCGAGGGGCCGTGGCGGTCTTCACGTGGTGCTCGTCTTATCTGCGAGCTCCACACACCGCCTCGCTCACCAAGGAAAACTATTTAGACTTACCGTCCGGCGGAGGCTGTGGTCTCTTGTGGCGGACAAGTCCCCCAAGCATTATGTTGGCTTGCACGTCTGGACCCGGGACAAGCCTATAGCAGGGCTCAGGATGAAGTTACAGCCTCTAAATATAACCTAGGCCACAGAATGGTTCCAAGTTAACACATATTCAAAAGCAAACATCATAGGGTAACCCTGGCCTCGGTAGACTCATGGCTGGCTCCAGGGTCGAGCCATGGACAGGTCCCAGGAGAAATCCCAAGTGAAGTGCCAAGGCAGAAGCGAGGTTTAGTGTTAACATTTATGTCTCTGTCAGATGGGCCATTCATGTTGACAATATTTTCTAACAGTCTACCAGGAGTAATTGACTTGTCCCCCAGAAAAATGTTCACGACTAAACAGCTCTGTTTATTTAGAACATGCTACAAGCTAAATGTTATATTTTATTGTATTACTTGATTTGGAAGTTAAAAATACTGCATTAGAATGATACGTTTTCCCGAAGGGAAGTGAGAGCAAGGATGAGTCTGAGGATAATGTGTGTGTGTGTGTCTCTCCAGGGGAGGAGCTGGCGGCCATGCAGCACATCAACACCTCCTCGCCCGGGGCTCTACCCAGTGGCGTGCTTGCTTCCTTGCTGGCGGCGGCCACGGTATTGCTGCAGTGCTGCTGGCCAAGGAGTCTGCTGCTGCTGCCTCGCCCTCATCCACTCACCCAGCCACTACCACCAGTCTGGGGACCCTCCACGCCCCTCTCCCAAACGCTGACAATCAGCTGAAACGCTGAGGTTGGCGAGTGAGAGAGAGAAAAAAAAGACAGGCGAGCTGACGACTGTTCTTTCCAGGTAGGAGAAGGTAAACTTCTGTTTTTCTTGGGAAATATTTTGGTCGTACCATTTTTTTTTAAGAAATGCTTTAAGCATTAATAAAGTTTTCGTGTTGCAGGTTTGGCTGTGAGGATGAGATCTCTACAGCCTTCTTGCACAAAGAGGCTCACCGAACCCCCCCCCCCCACCACAAACGTGACTAACTCCCACAGCATTACATTTGATGTTAATTTTTTCATTAAATTTTTCGTCATTTTTCATAAACAGTGAGCATGATTTTTGCCATTTACTATAATACGGAATAAGTGTAAAAAGTAAACATATATATATATATATATATATACTTGGTATAAACAGTGTTTTATTCTGCCTGTAACTTCACTATTATTACACATTAAAAGCCCTTATTTATAAGAGACAAACTTACACCGACTCCCATAAGATCCTTGTGAACAGTAGTAACTATGGTAATGTAACTTAATGGTAACTATGGTAATGGAATTATGGTAACTATGTAACTATGGAATTATGTAACTATCGTAATTATGGAATTATGGGAACAAAATTCACTTAATAATGAACACCAGAAGTTGAAACCAGGATATGTGAGTTGAGATTTGCCAGAGAAGAAAATAGGTCTTTAGTTTGTTGTAAGAGAATCTTAATTATTGCTGCAGTGTTAACAATTCGGAAAATTTATGCAGATAAGGCGGGAAATTAACTAATTATGCATTGTTATAAAATTTGGTTAAATATGACAGCATTGCTGGCGTTGTTGATCTATTAATGTAAGGTTTCTTTGAATCTGTTTTCTTAGTGTCAGTATTAAGACGAGCAATCAAGTTACCGAAATTTACGGTAAAGAAACTTTAGAAGTTATTGAAGGATTTATTTTTACAACGTTATGTTCCTCTCTGGATCATCTTCAGGTAAGGAATGATTATATAAAGTACTGTTTTTTTACTAAATACACGAACAAAGGAGTCAAAGGGGTATGGGATGGAGGCAATCAACCACAAAGTAAAGGGATAGGACCAAATATAGAGAAAGAGGTGGATAGGGGTAATCGAGGATAGGAAAAGAGGGGTATATGGCCACTCAAACATTGGGTAAGGCTTTGGGCAAAACTCTGCTATTCTCAGTGGGTGGAGGAGACCTCTGCAGAAACTTCGTTATCCGGTAATGTTTGGCGAGATTTGGCTCTAAGTATTAACAAGGAAACGAATTTGTTATTCTATTTAAGGAGAGTTCTTTTTCTCTTATAAGAATAGCTTCCAGGATTTATTTTCGTCCAGGTGGGAAACAAATTCCAGGATTTACTTTCGTCCAGGTGGGAAATAAATTCCCGGATTTACTTTCGTCCAGGTGGGAAATAAATTCCAGGATTTACTTTCGTCCAGGTGGGAAATAAATTCCAGAATTTACTTTCGTCCAGGTGGGAAATAAATTCCAGGATTTTTGTATTATCTACTAGCAGGCTCCTGTTGGGTGTCGTGTTATGCTGACTTTGCATATGGTTTCTGAGACCACCAGTAACTGGTAAACAGCAAGTAAGTCTTCTCAAAAGCTTTGTGGTAGCCATACCAATATAGGTAGATCGGGGCATGTAAATTGGCATACTACGTTTGATTTCTTGGGAAGGGTTGTATTGTTTATTGTTATAAAATGAGTTTAAATATTGCACCCGAACTAAGTAATATTTATTTACAAATAAATTTGTTTATTAAGGCATTAAGAAGTAACGCTGTTCATATCCCTGGAAACGAAAACAGCATTAGTTAGGGAACGAATTATGTGTTGATGATCATTGTAATTATTATTTACATATAGGACCCGACTCTTATTGGTAAACGAGTTTCATGTACACATGTACCATTCATGTACCAAAATGGGTTTGAATGTACATGGGTACATGAATGTAATATTCATCTTCGTCTTAGAATGTACTATTCATCTTCAAAATAGTGCGTGAATGTACAATTCATGTACCATTCATGTACCAAAATGGGTTTCTTTCTTGTCTTTTCGTATATGCTAATTATTTTTCTTGATTTATTACATCTGTCAGTAGCAACATTAAGACATTACTGATAGTCTAGTCAATATGCTGAAAAGTTCTTGAGAGGAATTTCGGCCATCTTGCAAGAGAATGAAATAAATCATTAAGATCCTGAAGCCTTTTATAATTAATAACAGAATTTTTGATAGATGCAGAAAAGAGGTCTTAACTTCTCTCGACTTACAGTAAGCTTCTTTCTGGGAAGAACATTGTTAAGCACCATTCCCAGTTGACTCCTCTATTGCAGACCCCTCTCTGTGACGCACGTTCTCCACAGAGAGATTAAAATCTGATTATATCCTGGGCGGCAAGAGCTAACAGTCGTGCAAGAGAAAACACATGCAGTATGCAAATGGTTCTCAAACAGTGAGTTTTGGAGAAATATTTACCGTGCTACGAGTTTTATAACCAGCTCATATCAATCTCAGTTTGTTTAAATATTTGCGCAAGAACCACGTTAATCTTCTGATGAGATCATCAGTAATAGATTATAATATAAATGCCTTTAAGAAGGAATAATTAGTATATAACTTAATGCATGTTCTAATGCCTTACACAGGAGCCAGTACTCTGTATCTGGTAATATGGCAATATATTTACAGTATTATATTTCGACGAGGAAAATTAACTCACTAATAATACAAATCTTAATTCTATCACTAGGTTGGTGTTTGGTTATGCTGTTTGTGTCCTAATGGGACTTTACTTTTAATCACCCCAAACTAACACATAAAATATATATATATGAATTTCCTACCCTGTTCCCTAATCGTAATTTTTTAAAAATTTAGGTTAAATGCTAAACTGATTTAAATGAACACTATTTTGTATACAAAATTAGCAGAAACTTCATAAGGCGATTAGTATGTCACTAAAAATTATATTAAAACTTCATTGGTTTGGATCGTCAATTAATCTGCCTAAGTTCACTTTCACTTTAATTAACAATCTTGTTAGGTAGAGGGTGACGCTGGATCCAGCTGTGGTTGCTTAGAGATATTATATATATATATATATATATATATATATATATATATATATATATATATATATATATATATATATATATATATATATATATATATATATATATATATATATATATATATATAATATTTACCTCTATATATATATATATATATATATATATATATATATATATATATATATATATATATATATATATATATATATATATATATATATATATATATATATATATATATATATATATATATATATATATATATATATATATATATATATATATATATATATATATATATATATATATATATATATATATATATATATATATATATATATATATATATATATATATATATATATACATATATATATATATACATATATATATATATTTATATATAGTGTTTATACTCTTACACTACCAAAGTGTTTCTGGGCTCCTTTTGGAGATTTTTCCTGACCCTTTATCAACAGGCTATGATTAATCATATGTCCTTAGGAAGACAATCAAGTGAAAGTACATATAGGACAAAAGTCCTAGCCTAGGTAATAGGCCAAACACAGCAGAAGGGTCGTGACATCCGACTCCACTCAATATTTTATGTATACCAAGTTTCATTCAAAATTTACCTCTACTTATGGGCAGGGATAAAAATTTCCCAAACCCTTCATCCTATTTACAAAACTCTCCGACCCCGCAAGACTCGTGTGTACAAAAATTCATCGAGTTAAACACAATTAACTTCGAGACTCAGATTAATGATAATGTTTTAATCCAGCTGACAGTCACTAACTTTTGATTCCCAAACTATTTATTTTCTTGACATTTTAGTTGTTAAAGATGTCGTTCCGAGTATAAATATTTAACAAATATTATTAAAATTTCATTTTGTTGGATGTCCTAATTTGTTGGCAATAAAAGGACGGAATGAGCGCCATTTATAGAAGTATTCAACAACAAAGTTAGTCTTTTACGAACAATTTTCAGGAAGGTATCATGTTTACCTTTCAGTGATAAAATATTAGCTTTTAAAAACGAATGAAATTCCAGTATAGTTTCCTGCAGCCAAAATACAAGCTGCCAGCTACAACTTTTTAAATGCAAATTATTGTTCTCATTTGACTAATTCGGTTGCTATGTTTCCAACAGATGAGCTGAATGCGCAACTTTCATATTAGTTTTTAATTAAAATTGTAATTGCATGTTATGGAACTGAGATCGATCACAGAGCACTTCACGCGTGGAGAAAACTGATGTTTCTATCAACATTATGGCACTATTTCCTTTAGGGAGAACTTTGAGAGTTTCTTATTTTCGTTGTGTTTGCTGAATGTGTACTCACGTAGTTGTGATTGTGGGGATTTAGCTTTGGCTCTTTGGTCCAGCCTCTCAACTGTCAATCAACTGGTGGCCAGTTGTGTGTGTGTGTGTGTGTGTGTGTGTGTGTGTGTGTGTGTGTGTGTGTGTGTGTGTATGTGTGTGTGTGTATGTGTGTGTGTGTGTGTGTGTGTGTGTGTGTATGTGTTCACCTAGTTGTGCAGGGGTTGAGCTTCGGCTCTTTGGTCCCGACATTTTATAAACATTATAAAAATCTTTCTTTCAGCTTACAATAGTATTTGTTAATGTTATATATTTAAACTACAGAATTATAATATGTTGCTTATCAACATGAATTATGAAGAGAAAGAAGTGTGTCGTTACAGGCAAATGCCCAAACTGTCCTCACACACTTAACGCACTGAAATATTAAATCTTTTTCGAACGAATGAGAAACAGGCCTGAAAGGTTCAGCCAGTCCTCATAAACAAAGGCCAAAGTCTATTCCTTGCACCCACCAAACTCAATGTTTATGAATGAGAAACGATTATCACACGACTCACAACTGATGACGTCCGAACACTTCTCGAACAAGTGCTTCCCTGACGAATTTGTTCGAACCTCAACGCTGTAAATGCTTCCCACACACACACTACAAATACAAATAATCGCCAACAGAACCTAAACACCGAACCTAACCAATGCCTAAATATGCACAATATGCAAATATTTGCGAAAATTCTTGTTCTGAATGAACAAAATGTTAAAATATATGAATGCGTCTTAGGGGGTCGACCGCTGGATAGAATGGACTTGGTCTGAAGACGGGTTAGAAAGGTTATGTAGGTAGTCTTAGTAAAACGCTTCTGGAAACTCCTTGACGCTGGTTAACTCTTAAGAACGACCTGGAATACCAGTGCTGGAAAGATATATTTTAACAGCAAATGTCCTCGATAGTAATTTCTAGTCATTTTAACTGGCAATAAA